CCCCCCCCCCACACACACACACACTCTAAGAGTCAATGGAAAAAATATCCTTGGGTGAGGATTAAAAAAAAAATTGTCCTGAAAGGATAACTGCTCTCTGCTGTCCCTTCCCCCTGTGGTCCTGCAGAGACCTCATGATTCTGTTCTTTGCTTTTAGCATCATGATGAGACTGATTATGCGCTGAACTAAAAAGGACTTTCAGGAAAAAACTGAAGTTGCAGTGTTTTTTGCTATATGCTTAAGTTTGGAATTTTTCTTTCAACATATATTTATAGAAACATTGTATAGTAAAATAAAACCCGTGTAACAGACCACCAGTGTTCAGTTCATGTCACAAAAATTGTTTCCTTAAGCACATTTCACATAGGTTGTTGATCTGTGGTTAAAAACTTAGAAAAATTCATTATTATTTAAGATGAGTTTTCATGATGTTTGTTGGAACTTTGCTCAGATTTTCTTTTTTCTTTAAGAAAATAAAAATAAACATGACATGCAATAGATAGAAAGAATTCCCAAATCTTGAAAATATATTTCACATTTCACATGGGCACATTGTTCCTGTTGGACAGTCAGTGTAGCAGTGTGTTTGAGTGTGGACACTGGAGCCAGACTTCCTGGATTTGAAATCCTGACTCTTCTCTGTGACCTCCTCCCTGGGTGATCTTGGGCAAGTTCATTATCCTCCTTGTCCCACCTTAGTTGCTTTATCTGAATGATGAGGTTAATAAAAATACCTACCTCAAAGGGTAGTAATGAGGATTAATGTTGCTGTATGTTTTAAGACAGTGCTTTGGTATAGCAAAGTGTTCAATATTAGCTAATTTTATGTTAATTCTAGTAATATATACATTAACGAAAATTTGTAATTCACTAAGTTTTTAGAAAATATATTAGTCTTAGATTAATTTGAAATTTGGATAAAACCTAATATATTATTTTTAAATTATGGTCATAGTATTTGCTATTTTTTTTAAATGACTTAGAAAAGTACTGCAAGAGGCCTAGCCGGGCTTGGCTCAGCGGTTGAGCATCGACCTAGGATCCAGGCGATCAGGGTTCAATTCCCTGTTAGGTCACATGCCCGGGTTGTGGGCTGCAGCCGATCAATGACTCTCTCATCATTGATGTTTCTATCTCTCTCTCTCCCTCTCCTTTCCTCTATCTGAAATAAATAAAGATATATTTAAAAAAAAAAAAAAAGTACTGCAAGATTATTGTGAAGATTGTATTTTTATATATATAGTACTGAGCATGATAGTAGGCATTCGATAACTTGTTACTATTTTATTTTTACTAATAAGAAACTTTAAACAATGTCTTAATTTTAAAAATATATGAAGAATAAAATTTAAAAATATACGAAGGATAAAATTTTTTGCACATTAGAGTTCTAGATATAGTTATCAGTATTATTGATTAATTAAACAATTTAAGTATTTAATTTTTCTATTTTCTAAAGTTATTTTGGAACTTTTTTCTCTAAAATTAAATCTTTTTGTTTATACTAATAATATTTAATCTATCTGAATAGTAATGGTTTGAAGGTAATGATGTTCTTCATATTAGAAGTGAATTTTTCAGGTGATAGTGATCTTAAAAGTTTGTTTGTAAAAGAAAGCTTTGAATAATAATATATGTTAAAGAGTTTTGTAAACTGTAAAATCCTCTACAAATGTTAATAATGAATTTTCCCATTATCAGGAGAAGGTTTTTAACTGAAGAGCTTTTCTGACACTAAATTAAGTAATGTAACTTATCACATAATGATCTGTGTAAACAATTGTGGAAGTAAACAATAATTTTGAGTCTTGCATCATCTAGAAAAATTAATGGGAAATTGTATTGGATAATAAAAAGATCTAATATTGTTATTAATAATGGCAAACTATGTGGAAAACATTTATAAGCTATAACAAGTCTCAAATATTCTTCCCCTTTCGTCAATGTAACTAATTAAGACACAGTTTGGAGACGTTATTTAGACCTAAAACTATTATATCTACCTGTGTTTAGTATCTAATACCTGTGATTTAATAGAATCCCAATCATCCTTCTCATGTGGCCATGAAAAAACATTTCTGGCCCGGCCGGGCGTGGCTCAGCAGTTGAGCGTCGACCTAGGATCCAGGCGATCGGGGTTCGATTCCTGGTCGGCACATGCCTGGGTTTCGGGCTCGATCCCCAGTTGGGGGCGTGCAGGAGACAGCCAATCAGTGACTCTCTCATCATTGATGTTTCTCTCTCTCTCTCTCCCTCTCCTTTCCTCTCTCTGAAATCAATAAAGATATATTTAAAAAAAAAAAAAGAAAAAACATTTCTGAAATGTGATGCTTGGAATGACCTTTGGCAGCTATAATTAGAAGTATGGTATAGCCCAGTGGTAATATCTGCATGTTTTATTTAATATTTTTAATTTTATTCTTATTCATTGTTAGTCTTTATTTCACAGAAAAGATGTAGGTGCCCAGGCATTCCAAATATATAGAATAGTTCCATTTTCCAACACTGTAGCTCTTAGTGCTGGATGATTCTTTGGAGGATGTGATTGTTTTATATTCACTCAGCTGTCCAGCAAAGAATGTTCACACAGGTCTGTGCTCCCTTATCCAAACCTCTGGTGTCAGCTGTGTTTTTAGGATTTTTCAGGTTTTAGAAAAATAATACAGTGTATATACTGTATATTATATAACCACTACAGCAGGAGGCTAGAGTAGGGCCTTGTAATCAAACACATAATGTTTCTACAGCAAAAAATAGAAATTGCCACTTTAAACATGTTCTGGAGCAATAAGAAATTATGTTGAAAAAGATGTGTCTAATACTTCCATCTTTCTTACTCTAAGGGTACGTTTCAATTACTAGAGAACTCTGTATTTCCGTAGGCCAGGAATTTTTCTTTCTTGGATACTCTGCATTTAAAAGAAATTGTCTTTAAAAATCCATAAGCACTACATTCTTATTTCGTGTATATAATAAACATATAAATTAGAAGAAAGAAATCTCTTAAATTGAAAGAATTTAAATTCTTTAAATTCTTTTATAAGTTGATGTATGTCAGCTAGTACAGTATACATTGGTTACCTTTAGGGAACTATACCAGGAAATGAGTTAACCAGCCTCAAAATTCCAACAGTCTGTGTCATTTTTAGTACAGTTTTCACAAAATGCTAACAAATAATTTCTGACTATCTAAGCAAATCAGATTGAGTCAGAATCATGTCAAATAAATCTTTCCCTTTTTGCCCTTATTCTGGAGAACTTATGTTTTCAAGAGGAATCTGCTACTTTTATCTTCCAAATCCTCATCTCTCAGACAGTGGCTTTGAGTTCCATGACAAATATTGACCAAGTAGCAGAGAAGGAGAGCTAGATTGTTTCAAGAGAGAGCTCCGAAGATTTTTATTGTTTATTTTTAGATACTAGTAACTAGGAGGCAGTTGCAACTTTTGAGTCTGGTTAAAATGATTTTGTTTGACATGTTTTTAAAAGAAAATAGAAGTGCAACTCACATGACTAAGATTCCAATTCTAGTTTTCCTTCTGTGTGACTTGAGCAAATGACTTTACTCTGAGTTTCAATTTGTTCTTCTAGAAAGTAAGGTTATTGGATTAGGTAATCTACCAGGTCTATATTTTCATTAATGAAAGTCAGGATACATCACCTGTCAAAGTCTGTTTGATAACTTACTAATTTACTTATATAAAAGTCTTATCAAGGTTTAAAAATAAAGTAGTATAGTTATTTGTTTAACAAATTAATAGAAAAGTTAAAATTATCATTAGGGGTTATTCTATTTCCTGTATTTTATCTGCCATTTTAAATATTGTAGACTAATGGATGTAATTTGTTTTAAATTACTTCCATATTTGGTGTGTTTTTAAATACAATTTATATCATTATGTTTATTTCTTAATAAATTGTAAAATGACATGATATGGGAGAGACAAGCTTGATTAAAACACTCTTTTAGAAGATGAAATGAGTAGTTGATTTCTCAAAGTGCCATTCTTGCATGTTTATGATTATTTTATGGTGGTGGTGTTCAGTTGGTATACACAGGATGATAAAAGAAGAGAAGTAAGTACTCAGTTTTTATTTTTCTTTGTTCTGTTGGCTTTGCTTGGCCACGTTTGATCATTGTTTAGAATTTTGAGTTATAACAATGTTTCCTTATACTGTCAATATATTTATTTATTTATTTACTTGCTCACTCTAGGGTCATGATCAGAGTTCAACTCTTGCTCAACACTCTGTTGAACTGACTTTACCCAATCATCATCCATTTCATAGAGACTTGCTCCGATATGCCAAGCTGATGGAGTGGCTGAAGAGTACAGATTACGGAAAATATGAGGGACTAACAAAGGTATGGATTTGAGATCAATTTGACATCACTGAGTATAGAATGTAATCTTTTAGAATCAAGAGATTATATATTCAGTTCCCCATTTGAAATACTCTAGTATATTCTTAGCAAAGCAGAAAATAATTGAGTTTCTGAGTGCTCATTAATGAGAGAGAACATTTATTTTATTTTCTTCGATACAGAAGAGCTATATTTTACATTTAAGTATAATATAGTAGTAGTCCATACTGTATGTAGTCTGAGGCATCATCTAGTTTAGTTAAATGCTATAATTATTTCCTGAGTGTCTTTATGTGCAATATAGAAACTAGAGAGTATGAAGATGTGTGAGTGAGGCATTCACACTTTAAGGTTTTATAATCTGCTCTATTAAACACATGCAGAGCACCTCTTTATTAGCAAGCATTTCTGTATACCAGGCACGTGTGACCTAACAAACAGGTGCCTACTTCTAAAGAGCTTTAAGTCTGACTGGGAAAGACAATTACACTGAAAACAGTCAGCAAAAAATTAAGTTCAGAACTGGAAATGAGTTTATCTATATGACAGTTTAGAGAAGGGAAATCCATGACCTGAAACTATGGGGAAAAACTTCATGGAAGATATTGGACTTGAATTGAGTTTTAAATAATGAGTGGGATTAGATAAGCCAGAGATAAGAGGAAGGGCATTCCAAGAGTGAGGAGCAAGATGTCCAGACAAAACTGGGGAAATGCCCTGTCCCAGGACAATGAGGAGGCAAGCCTGACTGAAGCAGAAATTTCATGTTCTGGAGCGATGAGAAATTATGTTGAAAAGATGGGCCACGAAACCTAATAGCACTCCTCACACACATCAGAAAACACTATTGGAGGAGGAGCTATGAACCTAATGTAATAATTCAAATGAAATGAAATCCTGAACCAGGAAGATGGTGGTAGGCATAGAGAGAATATAAACCAAAAGAGAGACTCCAGAGACAGGAGGGACAGGATGATGCCAAAGTCATTATCCAAAGTCATAGTATTGCTAGGCTTGGAGAGTAGAAGAGCAGTGGTATATATATATATATGTGTATATATATATATATGTATATCCCTAACTGAATGGCAGCCTTTGGGGAAGATAGGAGTCATTCACTCATATTCATTCAGCAGATGAACNATGTATATATATATATGTATATCCCTAACTGAATGGCAGCCTTTGGGGAAGATAGGAGTCATTCACTCATATTCATTCAGCAGATGAACTGAGCACCTGTTACATACTAAACTAACACTGTTGTAAGTGCTAGAGATGCAGCATTGAAGGAAACAGGCAAACTCTTCCCATCCAAGAGTATATTCTGATGAAGAAAGGCTGACAGAAATGTCAGTTATATAGTATGTTAAAAGGTGCTGCTGAGTGCTCTAGAATAAAATGAAGCAGGCAATGCCAGGACTGGGGGAAGGTTACAATTTCAAATCCATGGTCAGAGAAGGCATCATGAGCTGTGAGGAGCAAGAAGGTGACATTTGAGATGATTTATAAATAAGCACCGGAGAGCAGTGGGAGTTACTGGGGGAAGCTTTCCAGTCACAGCACAGGTGCCCTAAGGCAGGAGCTTGCCTGTGTGCTTGAGCAGTAAGGGGGCCAGTGTGTGGTGGGAGCACAGCAAGCGAGGATCAGGACCTTAGAAGGGCTGGTGGGAGAGGTAAGATGGGGTGGGGCAGGGCAGATTGGAAGGGACTGTGCACCATTGCAAGAATTTGGATTTTACCAGGAGGGATTTGGAGGAAAGGAAGTGTTGATGGACTGAGCAGTGGAATGACAGGATCTGACTTAGATTTAATAAATGGCCACTATAGCAGGAGGCCATGGGTACAGTCCTTTTTTGGGCATTTATCCTGTGACCTTTAGTATTGGAATTGACCTAGCCACTTAGGGAGCTAAAGAATTGCTATCTAATGCAAATATATAAATAGCTATATTTCTATATTACATATAAGAACAGTACAGTTAAAATTTCAAAATACTCTAAGAAACATTTAGAATATTTATCTAAGTTTTTATGAATTTGGAATTTAAAAACAAAAAATCCAAATAACACAAAAGCTATTTTAATAACTAGTAATAATTTAATTATGTGGACAGTATGACCTTAAAAGATGTTCTTGAATTGGAAAGAGTGATGTGTTTTGTCTCTGTAGAGTGAGAATATTGGAATTGTTAATGTAAGGCTCTTCCCCTCCACCCATGTGTTTGTGATGAAAAATTTTCTAACAAAGATTTAGATAGCAAAATCATCTTATTTTTTTGCTAGTTTTGCTAGCAAAAATTTTTCCTAGTTTTTGCCTAGTTTCCTTTTTTCAGAATATTTCATAAGTGAAGATTATTCATTCCCAGGGAATTAATGTTTTTACATGAACCCAATTTATTTTTATATTTACTGAAATAATTATTGTAATTCCTATCCAGTATCATTGGTTCATGGTTCTTAAGAAGTCAAGGGTTAGGTAGAAATTTATGAGAAGTCTGATGGTAAGAGAAAGGCAGATTGTACATTTCTATCAATGTACTGATATCAACATATTTGGCAATAGGCCATTATATATCAGTTTTCATATATTTTCTCTTTAAAGTGCCTTTGTCCATGTAAAGTAAAATCTGGCTCCCTCTTCTAAACTGTGAGCATAAGAAACTGGACATAAACCTGGGTAAAAATATTTTTAAATTAAAATTTTAAAATGCTTTTTAAAAAGAATATGTATCCTGAGGTGTTTACATATATCTTATCTGGCTACTTATTTTAGTTAAGATTATTGTAGTTCTTCAGAATAGGTCTTTTAAGTATTATGCAGCTCTACTGTTGTGTTATATATTTTTTTGTTTTGTTTTCATTCAACAGAATTCTGATTTGGAGATATCTTAAGGAAAAATATTTACATTACTGGAATTCTTTGCCTTTTGAAGTTTTAGGAGGATTAATATTTTGAATAATTAAACATTATTATATCTCCTTAAGAGTTTTGTGCCAACAAGTGCTTTGTCCCCTAGTGAATATTCAAATAAGTAATCAATAAGGTTTTGCCTAATTGTGTCCTCAGTGAGTATCGTTGCCCTATCTTTATACATAATGCAGTATTCATAAGTGTAATTTAAAGTGAAGAAACAAGACTGTAGCCAACCCAGGGATGATTTATGGAATATATATCAAAGTGTGTTTTGGATTGACAATGTTAATGAGCTTTTTAAAATGAAATTGACTTATTTCCCAAGAATGTTACTTGAGCCTGTGGTTTGAACTTTTGACAGACTATGTATTTTACCTCACAATCAAATTTGGTTGCTGAACTGTTGTCAAAAACAGGAATTTTATTAAAAAGGAAGGAGGGAAGGAATGAAAGAAGAAAAGAAAGAAGGAAGGAAACAGACAAACCAATGTCTCTTTGCTAAGAAAAAAAATAAATCCAGATACTATTTGCACTTGGTTTGGTGTACACAGCTCACACTTTTTGGTGGGAACAGGAAAAGCCCGTTCATATTCTTTAGGGATAAGAATCACTAAGTACTGCTCCAGCTCTGCTTTGGCTGAGTGTAAGAAAAGCCCTGATTTTTGGTATACATAATTAGAGCCTTTGGAAAATAGGGGTGCCTTGGTCATGTAAGGAGCTCAGTTGCCCAGATTCCTTCCTCCCCAAGTCTACAACCCCTACCTGTGGCTCTGGTTTTGCATGTAGGGCAGTTACTAGAGATGGTCCATCCCTGCTTGGGAGGAAATGAGCTTTCCTTTCCTAGTAACTTCCTGAGGTTGATAGTCAGTCTTGAAGATAACACAGACACCTTCCTTCAGCCACTGGTCTACATTTGTGGAATTTGCCTTTTTGTTTCAAGAAAAAGTAAAACATGAGGTCTCCGTAAGACTCTACAGTCAGCACAAAATAAAATTGAAAAGACTGCCTGAAATAAGATTTAAACTAATGATGGTTAAATTTTAAGTTAGGTGCTATATATAAGGTGCAAAGAGGAAGAATACACACAGTGAGAGACATCTTTCAGAATTTGTTAAATGAATGAACTGATAGTCACACTTGTCTGTGCCTTGACCACCAGTGAGTTCTGTTGAGTACCTGGGAAAAAGTCATTTGAGTCCCATTGAAAAAGGTGATTTACGATAGTGTTCTGAAGCCACTGTTTTCTAGATAACAAAACAGCTATTTGAAACCATTTAAATTGCTTGGATAGTAATGAGCACTTTAAACAATTTAGGTATCAGAATGTAGTCTCTTGTATTGACTGATTTCAATAGAAAACCACTAATGAAGATTTTACAGATAATAGAAAACTACTTTCACATTTGTCAGTCATTTATTGATTTGCAGTGATCAATATTTTTATGATAATTTAAACTTGAAAAATGAGACATTGAAAAAGGGAGATAGCCCAATCAACTAGGAGTTAATTTTGGTGTGTATTTTAATTTATATTTGCTTTTAAAGTTAAGCAAAGATCATGGGAAAGAATTGCCCATTTAATTAACTTTTTTTCTTTTTTTCAAATATATCTTTATTGATTTCAGAGAGGAAAGGAGAGGGAGAGAGAGAGATAGAAACATCAATGATGAGAGAATCACTGATTGAGCCCGCAACCCGGGCATGTGCCCTGACCGGGAATCGAACCCTGATCACCTGGATCCTAGGTCGACGCTCAACCGCTGAGCCACGCCCAGCTGGGCATAATTACTTTTCTTATGAGAGTAATATGGCCTATAAATTGAAAAACAGTTGTTTATGTTATGTTTTATCCAAATACTATTTCATAAGGATATACCTATAAAATATCTAAGAAAATCAGTGAACTGTGAATCAGTATGCAAATATTTACATAATACACCTTTTAAAAGTTGCACCTGATAGTTAAAGCAAGGTGCTAATTCTAAAACTGGATATATTAATTTGAAATAAAGGAAGTTGAAGCTTGATTTCACAATAAATTTAAAGGAATAGTTATGTACAATTTTTCTGCTATGGATTTATTTCAATTTAGTCAAACTCTGTATATGGCATTTAACTTAGGACTTGGAAAAATACATGGTCTCCCACTGTTGAAGAATCCTTCATGAGGGTATGTGATGATAGGCAGATATGATGAAGAAATAAGTGTTCGTGCTAAATAATAGATATTTTCATTTGAGCTACAATAAATCAAATTTGTCACTAAAAATAAATTATTTAGTAATGAAAACTATAAGATGTACTAATTAAATTCTTATTGAAAATAACCTATTTTGGGGTAATACCCCAAGCTCACAGGGTACAGTGAAACTGAATGTACTCCTTTGTTGCCGTTGGCACTGTCCATTGATATAATCGTTTTTAAAACAACGTGGCAGTATGGAGGAAGAATGATAAACTCTTTGGCCCTGTAACTCCACCCTTAAGAAATTATTCCAAGGAAACTGTTCATTGGAGATGAAAAGCTCATTGTAACATTGTCTGTCATAGCAAAACACTGAAACCATGTAAGTGATCTGTGCTAGTGGATTGGTTTACTAAATAGTGGTCCATCAACAAAGTATAATACTTTGCAGTCATTAAGGTGTGAGACTGGAGAAACATGACTGTTCTGACTCAAATATCCTATTCAGTATGATTGCAACTAGATTTAAAATGTGAAAGTTAACATATAAAGATGAAAATGTGATTGTTCCACTTGATATTTTTATAACTTGTTAATGTACAGTTTTTATAAAGACAGAAAATAGCCTACTTTTTATATCCTATGAACTGCATCAAAATTTAGACCACAAAATTTAAAACAAACATGAAGGATTTGGGGGGGATTAAAAAAATGGAAATTATTATATTTGTTTTATTAATTAAAAGTACATGTTACTTTTATTTAAGAATTACATGGATTATTTATCACGACTGTATGAGAGAGAAATTAAAGATTTCTTTGAAGTTGCAAAGATCAAGATGACCGGCACAACTAAGGAAAGCAAGAAGTTTGGTAAGCGTAGGCGCTCCAGTTCATTGTTTTTCATTCTGGTATATATGGCTTTATTTATGACAACTAATCCCAAGTCTTTTTAAGCAAGGAGAAAGAAGATACAGTAGAATTAATGAAAGAGTAAGTCTGATACATTGGTTTGGCTTATAGGTATTTCATAGAAGAAATATTTGTATCTGCAAATGTTTTTTTGCTAATTAAAATTCTGCAGTATGTGAGACTCTGACAGCAATTTTATATTTATGCTATAATTAAAAGTACATGTTCATAGGAAAAGCAGTTGGCCAGAAAATGGAGTGCCGTCTAGTCTGGTAGAGAAAGTATTAGACTAAGAGACATATGTTGAGAGTTCAGTTTCTGACTTCCTAAAAGATGTTCATTTAACAGTGTGGGCAAATCACTGATCTCTTAAGTCATTGCTCTCCACAGGGAAATAAAAGTGATTCCTGGCTTGTTACTCCTCACTGGCTATTTTGAATCAAAAAGAAAGTTTGTGTTTTATGCCCTGCCAAAGGGGCTATATATGAATATGTCACCAAAATTTCTTCTGTGATTATACCTTACTTTTGCAAGATATAATTTTGAAGTGTATTAATTTTTGTAGCTTCTAAATATGTTAAATGGAGAAAAACAACAACAACCACCCCAAAACAAAAACCATGATTTGAAGGGTAACCAGTGAAAGTACCAAGTTGTGAGGAAGGTGATTTGCCAAGGCCACATTCTGCTCTTGCATGTACCCATCTCTGGAGTTCCTTTTGGATGGAGTTCTGTGCCTATGAAGTCAAAACCTGGCCTTAAGTGGCTACAATGTGTATTCCTCAGTGTGTCTGCATAGCTCCCTTTAGAAAAATGAGCTTAGCATTTGCTTGTTGAAAGGAGCCTATGCCCTAAGCAACTTCCGTAATCAGGAACCAGGATTGAAATTGATAGCTCATCTTTCCATTCTTTCTTTAGGACAGAGAAGACTGTCTTTAGTGGGTAATTATTTTGTAATTCACTGGATGGTTTGTTTGTTTGTTTTTAATACAACACTAATATATTGATTATAGTAGTCCAGACTTTTGAAATGGTTTGAATCTGTGTACAAATATGTTACATGTAGGTAAAGATACTGATGAGAATCTTGGGACAATAGGCTTTTGGAAACAGAAATGCTAACTCATCCTAAAGGTTAATTGTTATTAAGCAGCAGTGTGTTTATATCCTTGTTAATGTTTCACTGTGAATACGTTATACTTTTTTTTTTTTCAGTAAATACATATTATTAATGCAGTTACATGTTTAATGTTTTCATTTAATATATTTGTCGCCACTTGTTAGTGAATTATTTTATTTTGAGAGTACTCTTCTATAGTATATGAAAACTGTAGGTAAAAGAGAAATCTTCCTAAAATTATCTCCTGAGGAGTCATTAATCCCAGTATCACAATAGATTATCAAGCCTAAAATTCACACTGAGATAAATGACATAATGAAAATATGATTTAAATAAAGTACAATCTCTTTTTTTTTAATCCTCACCTGAGGATATGTTTTTATTGATTTTAGAGACAAAGGAAGGGAGAGAGGGAGAGAGAGAAACATCAGTGTGAGAGGGAAACGTCAGTCGCCTCCTGTACTTGCCCCAGCTGGAGATCAAACCTGCAACCTAGGTGTGTGCCCTCACCAGGATTTGAATCTGCATCCTTTTGGTGTACAGGATGACGCTCCAACCAATTGAGCCACCCAGCCAGGGCCAAGTACAATAGTATATTAATGGTATCATTACATTAACCTGAAACCTAAATTTTTTCCTTTCTTACCCCTTGAAAAGTTCTTAAATTATCTTGTTGAAAATATTTTTATATTTACATAATACACATGTAGAAGGTACTTTTATAGCTTTAAAACTTAAAATTACATCTCTTTTATGAATCTATTACATAATAAGGAATAGGGGAGTACTTTGTGGAGGTTGATGGTACCGTAAAATGATATCATTTCAGTGATTTTGATATCAGCTATAACAGAAGAAAGCTTTAAACAAACAGTTCAGACGACACAAACTGTTTGGTCCATCTTTGAAGATCTAACTTGTTATTCAGCATTTAAAAATAAATGTTAAGCTAAATACAGATTACTCAGGTTCTAAATAAGGGTAGAATATAACATTTTAAAAATATCTTTTCAATGATTCAAATTATGTTTAAATCAATTTTAATAGTAAGTATAATTAAAAATCTGACATTTTAGAATGATAACTTTTTAATGAGTCAAAATTAGTAATAATAATATTTAAATGTGTTCTTTTTTTATTTGCTCTGAAAATGCTGGATTATAGATGCTAATAATAATAGAAAGTCAGATGGAATGTGCTTTACAAAAGTAAATTGTAGTAAGTATAGTCATAAAGATTCAGGGGAGTCCTCTCTTTTTGAACCACTCTGGACTCAAATCTTTAACATTTACTTAGTTCATATAATAATTCAAAATAAGGTTCAAATGCCAGTAAAGAATCTCTTCTTTGTGATAAGCTTTTTATGTAGGTCATTGCTTTTTTGATTAATAGGTTTACTGTAACATCCTCAGAGGCATGGAATTTTCTCTCCAAGATAGATATTTTAGTGGTTTTTTTCCCTTTTGTATTCCACAACTGTATTTAATGAAATGGCAGGCAGAGGAAATTTGGTATTTATTTTTAAAATCACCAGTTTTTTCTTTCTACAGCTAAGATATCACACACACATCATTTTTTAATTCATTAATGTGCATTTACATAATTACTGCCTCTCTCATATTCCTTTTGCTATTATTCCCAAACCTTTAAAATGGTATGCCAAAATCATTTTTTCATTCTTTGTTTCTCCACTAAACTAAGAAATCTTGTTGATTCCAAAGGAAGTCTTGAATACAAGATAATTCATGGCTGGCTGGAAGATTCAATAAATATTTATTAATTACCTATTATATAATAAACACTGCAGCATTCTGAGAATGCAGCAATGAGCAGAGATCCTACCCTCATGATGTTTATAGTCTAGTAGGGATTATTTAACAATATTTAAAAGTTTACCTGAAGATTTTTGTTTGTTGCAGATAAATAATATGGACTTTTTATGAGCCCCAAATTATAGTTAATAGCCACTACTAGTAATTCTGTATTCTTTATTGGTTACTAAAAAATGGATTCTATGAAGTATTAGGCCTTGCTTTGGAACTGGTGACATAGTATATTGACACCTTAAGGCCACCAGAGGTATTGTTTAGATTGGCCAGCTGGTAGCTCCAGCGTAATCCTTGCTTGCAGCTTTAATGTCCAGCCTTATTGTTTCATAATCCCTTGAATGGGGGACAAGTTAGTAGCTTATATTTGGGCTTTTGCCTTGAAGTTATGCATTGTTTTTTGTTTTTAAAATATTTCTAGGTTATGTTCTTTAATTTTCTGTTTTATTCTATAATTTCTTCTTTGCCTTTCATAGCTACTTCTAATTTGAGTTTAGAATGTTTCACAAGATGATCTCTACAATTGATCTAATAAATATTATATACAGAAGTTTTAGAATAAAACCAAATGTTCCTTAAAAAGTTTAAATTCCTGTATCAAACCTGTTTCCTCAGCTTTACCCTTCCATCCACTCATCTCTTAATATGTAGTATATTGATCTAAAACTGTCATTCTAGGTGTTCACAAAGCCAGTTACTAAGTAGTGTAGCTTGATATTTTGAAATGGTTTTTAAACCCCAGTCATATAATTTTTATCAGATGTAATATAAAATTATTTAGTACAGTGGAGATTCCTTTCAGGAGCTTTCAAGGAAATTGAAATTGATGCATTTAATGTCTAAATCTACAATTTCATTCTAATAAATTTCCACTGTATTAAATTATTTATTTGAACCATATTTTTTCTTCAGAAACCAAAACTTGCAAATATAATCTTTTAAATATAAGTATACCAGTTTCATAAACTTAAAACAACCATTTAAAAGTATGGAGGTGATTTTACAAATACAGATATTTTTCTCTTAATATTAGAGTAAAAATAGTACATGAAAAGAATTTTCTTTCATATAATTTTTCCAACAGTAGCTGACCAACTAAACATATGTTGCATCTCTTGTTACTTGATGCTCATGGTTCTCTGCATGTGTCTTTTAAACTACAGCTTAACTTCCTCTTGTGCATGGTTTGTGCAAATTGCAGTTTATTAACTTGTCTTTGTCTTTGATGCTTGCAACCTAATCCATCACAGCTACACTTCCTCGAAAAGAAAGTGCTGTCAAACAGGAAACAGAGAGTGAGTATGCTTAGTGTATTAGTAGGTATTCTCAATGCATGTTTGTTTAATGTCTAGAAATTAGTTATTTGTCTTGAAAAAAGTTACACCAAATATATTGATTGCTTTGAGTTGCTGCCAGATATTGGTGAAAGAAAACCAACATGATGGGTAATGATGTGGCTACATCAAAGGAATATCTAATATAGTTAAAAATATCTGATGGGTAACCAGAAACTTATGAAAAGGCTTAACCATTATACTTCTGTTTTCAGGCTGTGGTTAGAAACTATAAAAATTCTTTTACTTGTGGTCAGATTTTACATAACAAAACCAAAATTTGCCTTTAATTGTCCTTATTGTGTATCTTCATTTGTCCCTTCTGACCATCAGCAAATAATACAGATTAACTGAGAAATACTCAAGAAAAATAAAGTAATTTAATTCCTTTATATTTAATTCTGAGTTAAAGTATCACATTTTCTTATAAAAATGGAATCCTTTAATTCTTTGATATATGTAAGATATTGTCCAGCCATATTGTTCCAAGTTTTCTTCATGGCTATAATGGATACCTATGTTTATCCCTAAACACAGATGCCCCATATTCATATCATTAATGATGTGTTATATTTTAGTTGTATTTTAAATACAACAAATTTTCAGGATTTTTTTTTCTTTTTTGTTTTGTTTTTAAAGAACCGCAGTTAATCAGTTCACTTAATGTAAAAGCAGTGTTTCTGGGTATAGGAATGTATTAAGTTGAATTGTAGGTAAATGACTTTTTTGTAGGGCAGGAATGATCGAGTATTGGCAGTTTCATATGGTTCAGCCTAATACGTTGATTTAACTTGGAGGCGGGTAATATTGGGATATGGCACTTTTCTTCAGAAATATAACAACTCATGTTACGCTAGCACACTAGGGGGTCAGTAACAATCCGTATTCATGTCTTCTTGTCTTTTGAGTGGGAAAGAAGTACATCCTCACCTACTTTAGTCCAGAGATATCATCAGGCAACTTTATATTCATGATAAGACTGGGCAGGGTACAGATTTTGTGATCTTTAAGATCCCTTTCACTCCTATTCTATAGATCTGTGTAGTTTCGCTACTTGTTACAATATACTCAGGAATAGGACATAAATGTTAATGAAACAGAAGAATACTCTACAACCTGTCCCATGTGGTAGACTTGTAATCCTAACAAAGATGTGCCCTGGAAGACCAAAATGGTAGATAGCCCTGATTTATGCTATGGATCTTTTATTCATGAAGGTCACAGCTCTCAAAGTCTTATTATTTCTTAGGTCTTCATGGAAGCTCTGGGAAATTAACTGGATCTACTTCTAGTCTAAATAAGCTCAGTGTTCAGAGTTCAGGGAATCGCAGATCTCAGTCGTCTTCCTTGTTGGATATGGGAAACATGTCTGCTTCTGACCTCGATGTTGCCGACAGAACCAAATTTGATAAGGTAAAATAAAATAACAGGTACTTCTTAAACATTGATATTAGCTTTCTAATAGCAGTTTGTTATTGCTTTAAGTGTGTTCAAAGATTTGGGCTCTCTCTTAGTTAACCGTATCTTACTTTCCAAATCCTGAGTCTGAAAAAAATACTAGTCCAGTGGCCACTGAAGTGTGAATCATCAATTAAATGACATAACTTTATTAAATTTTGTTATAAATTGTAAAATACTTGCATCTCAAATCTCTTTGAGGGACTGCAAGGTAAAGAGGAAATAACAGCTTTTATGAAGCTGAACTGTTTTCTGCAATGCATTAAATAAGCTTAAAAAGTTTGTCTGTGTTCCTCTTTCCAGATTTCAAGTGAATAATTATTTTGAGTTTCATTTTAGGTATGTTCTGGCCCTGCTGTGCCTTGATATACTGCACTGTCCTGTCAGTCTTGGAAGTTTCTTTTGAGGATTCTGTTGAGATTATGGATAAAGCATTTATGGTCCTTGCAGAAAAGTGAATTAAATGTGGAATGTTGTTATTTTAAGTATTTGGTGCAGTTCTTTCATTTTGGTTTTCTTCAGATCTTTGAACAGGTACTAAGTGAACTGGAGCCCCTGTGTCTAGCAGAACAGGACTTCATAAGTAAATTTTTTAAACTGCAGCAACATCAAAGTATGCCTGGAACTGTGGTACGGCTTATGTTTATTTATTGGCTAGTATATATGATCTGTAACATAGACTAATTAATATGTTGTCACAGTTTCAATATCAGAACAGAAAAAGAAGGGATTTTTAAAAAATAATTTTTGTCATATCAGAAGATAATAAAAACAGTGATAGTTTGTGCATCCAATTTAATATTTCACACTGTCTTAGGCCTAAACATTGTCTAGAAATTATTGAGGGAGTAAAATGTCTGAATTTATTTTGCAAAAAACATTATTTAAAAAGCAACTTTAGTATTATTTTAGCATTATTTATTTTATTACTAAAATAAATTTTCCAAAAAAAGATGTTTGATGTTTGAGTATATAAACAGTAGTCTAGCAAAAGAAAAAAAAAAGAAGGAAAGATGAGGCCTCAAATCTGATTGTTTTCCTATGGCTTTGTTATTAACTAGCTCTGAGACCTTAAACCAGTTATTTAATCCCCAGTTTCCTCATCTCTCATGTGTTCAATGGATATAATAATGCCTATTCAAAATGCCTCTCAGGTGGCAAAAATTTAAGAAAATGAAATATTTGCTAGAATATTTTGAAGAACTTAAAAGCACAATGCAAATAAAGTGATTTTAAAATTAAGGTCATCTTAAAAAAGAACCAACATGTAAAAAGCAGTCATAATGAATGAGAAATTATCTCAAGTGGGTGGGGATTTGTTGTTGTAGGTGGTGGTAAATTTGCTTACCTCTTCTGTAAGAATTTTTGGTAGTTTTTTAAAATACCAACGTACTATTAGAATGACTGATGAAATTAATTTTTAAAATTCTCTATTGCAAGTTGTTTCTAGATGTTTTCTGTTTTGTGTTGAGCTGCCCACTCATTCTGACCTTCCCACTCCAGCCTCCTGTACCTTCTGTCTTCCCACTTTCCCCTCCTCTGCACACAAACACAACTTCTCCCCATAATTCTCAAAGTGTAAGAACAAAGCATTTCATGAACATTCTTAGATAGCATACTAAATTATATAGTTCTGTCAGTAATGCTGTCTTTAAAAATCATTACTTTTCATAATGTATTCTCTCCTAGGAATTTTAAGACTGAACAGGCTTTTGCTATGTAAACTATTCAAATTGTTGGTCTTTTATTATGTAAAGTACCTGAATAATTTTTGCAGACTGAAGCAGATGATCTAGATGGAGGAACATCATCAAGGCAACATAATTCTGGCACACCACTGCCCATTTCATCCGAGTATGTGTTTGCTACTATCTGTTGTTATTTTGGGAAAAAATAAACTTTAAATTTAGCGTAGAGTGCTGCTTAATGAGGCGTCCAGATGGCTCTCAGTAACCTGACAGCACTCAGCCCAACAAGTGTGTTCAGTGTCTTATTATAAACATATTACTGAATTAAAACCTGTTCTGTTGTATGATTCTGCAACTCTTCTTTGCTCTAGTAATCACAAAAAAATGCAGTCAAATTTTAGTTTGCTGGTAGGAAGTGGCATTTGAATTGCCATGTATTTCTTGGAAATCACAAAGCACATTTATTGTTTTTCTAATCACAAAGCACATTCCAGCTTTACAAATGATAGTTATTTTGAGTGATAAACTTAACTTCAAAAAATATTTTTATATTGGAAACTGCTGTAGAATAATTATTTCATCATATTTGGACATTTTTAATGGAAATATGTTTTAGTAATTTGTATATACCTGGTGGATTAAAGTTAAAGATGAATATACCTGAAGTTTGTAATAACTCTTTACATTTTGTGTGTTTTCTGAACAGGAAAGATATGATCCGCCAAATGATGACTAAAATATTTCGCTGCATTGAGCCAGAACTGAACAACCTAATTGCATTAGGAGACAAAATTGATAGCTTTAACTCTCTTTACATGCTAGTCAAAATGAGTCATCATGTGTGGACTGCACAAAATGTGGACCCTGCTTCTTTTCTGAGTACTACATTGGGAAATGTTTTGGTGACTGTCAAAAGGAACTTTGACAAATGCATTGTAAGTTTTTTAATAACTCAGAATTATAATCATTGCAAAAAATAGATAAATGTATTTAAGTCAAGAGCTTTCCAGCTTTCCGTTGAGGGGTCTACTGTTTTTATATCTCCCAGTGCCTTGAGGCAGGGTATTAGCTGCAATATATATGAACAGAGGTAGTTGGATGATACTATGCCACTTAGCTTCTCTTCTACACTGAATCTTGGCAGATTCTGGAGTAGGTGGCATAGAAACTGTAGCTGTTTACGAGATCCATTAGGTAGTTGAAACCTTAGTTAACTGATTAATGAAATAATTGAAGCTATCATTTGGATTTATTGTTCTAATATATTCTAATAAGAATTAACAATTGGATTATTTTAATTGTTTAAATTAGTTATTCTATGTTTAATAGCTTTAATTAATAATCATATTACTTTTAGAATTATTCTTATAATAACTGCCAGAAATCATCACTCACCTTCTAATAGGAAAGGAAAAGTCATTAACAACTTTATTTTCATCTGTTAGGTTTTGGTAAGCTTGTAGGTATGAATTGGACTGAACCAGATTCTCAAAAAAAATTTTTTTTTTAAATTAATGTACTTGACATGTAAAAGTGGATATATATCATGAATATTTCTCCTGTGTAACCTTTAAGTTATATCCAGCTCTTGAATATTCCTATAATAATGGGAGATGAAAATATTAAGACCAATTGGAATCCATATAATTTTTCATACTTCAAATTTATTTCTGGCCTGGTGGGCTCAGTTGGTTGGAGCGTCATACACCAGAAGGTTGCAGAGTTTGATCCCCAGTCAGGGCACATACCTAGATATGGGTTTGATCCCCAGTCTGAGCACATATAGGAGGCAACCAATCAATCGATGTTTCTCTCTCACATCGATGTTCCTCCCTCTCTCTCTACCCCTTCCTCTCTCTCTCAAATCAATAAATGTATCCTCAGATGAGGATTAGAAAAATAAAATTTATTGAGTTGAATGTGTAAAAGCAATCTGTGTCCACTGTAGAAACTGTTGCCTTAGCAGGCTTGTTAATTCCCCTTCCCTACCAAATGATTTCACTTGGCATTTGAAATACTGTGAGATTTGGCCATATAAGACTTACCCTCTTCCCTTGCCCACCTTCTCCAGAGGTGATGATAAACCTGGAAGGTCTGATTGCAAGCTGATGGCCAAAAGGAAGAGCTACCAAAGGCTCTTTGGAAGATGTTGAGTCCTGTGACAAAGCTGGAACACTATATCATGTGAACACTATACATTTCTAGAATATGAAAACTTTATTGGTTTTATTAGTAAAATATAACTGTATGTAATACCTCTTAACCCCATAGAACATAATTGTTAAAAGCATAGGATGTAGTGTCAGGTAGATGTAGACTTGGGTTCAAATGAAATGCTTAGCACATTGCCTGGCCCAGAATAAGCTTAACTGATAACTCGTAATGATGGTAGTGGTGGTCGTGGTGGTGGTGATGGTGGAGATGGTGATAGTAATAGTAATAACTAATAGTTTATTAAAGAATGTTCATGTTACCCTCGACAAGGCAGTGGAGAAATGGAGTAAAATTAACCTAGACAATGGTATAAACTCATATTTTCTCCTAAATTGCGTGTATTTCTAAAGGATCTACATTTTGTCACTAAAGGAAAGATGGTTCATTCTTCTGCCTGTCATCTCTGTCTCCTCTTGTTTTAACTCATGTCTTCTCACAGTGTCTGGTAGATAGTATGTGCTCAGTAAGTATATTTTGGTATTTGGGACAAGATCAGGACCTAGAGCATACCGTGAAAAGGTAACGAATAGGTCTGTGTGTATTGAGCCAAAAGCACATTGATGGCTGCAGAAAATGGAAGAGATAGCACCTGAGTTTGACTTTCATCTGGTGGCCATGCCCACAGTATCTGGTGTTCTTCAAAGAACAGTACCAAGAAAGCTAGCCTAGCCTGAACTAGAGCTGAAATGAGAAAGTAACACATGAAGTACTACCAAGCCAGACTCTGCAGTCCAGTACATGTCTTAACTGCGTTTAATTTGTTTTGAGGATTCCTCACACTATAATGATGTGGATTTGCACTCTTAAACCTTTGAGAATGATATGATTTGGTTAAATTGCCATGGACAAGTAATATAGTGGTATGTGGCTAGCATCAAAGTTGTAGCCTAGACTGAATAACTCCATGTCCTTCTGGTGATGGCCATATGATTGGGCAGTCAGCTGGAAATTATGTATAGCTTTAGCTTGAGAGAAGTGTTGTTTTTGTGAGATTTAGTTCATTACTGGCTCTTTTCTCAAATGAATGCACTGTTTTTCTCCTGCTGGTTACAAAGCAAGAGAAAACAGCTGTCATTTAGAACTTGCCTTATAATCTTAAAGTCTCTTCAGGCATAATTATATTCTTTGTATTTAAATGTCACACAGAACAAAAATCTTCTTGTAGCTTAATAACAATAGACCATCATTCACAAATTAGTACTTGGTATGTACCAGGCACTGGTCTAATACTCCGTACACACTATCTCATCTAATTCTCACAACCTCCTCCCTCCCACTTAAGGTAGATTCTCCAAGAGGTTATGTTACTTTCCCCAGGTCAACAGTTATAAAGTGATGGAGTTGGTATTCATACCCCACAGTCTGGTTTCAGTACCTAAATCTTACACTGCACTCCCTACTGCATCCATTTTTACTCTTCACAGTTGTCAGTACATACTGATGAAGTGGAATAGTAGTAAAGATAATATGAAACAGTTGACAGTAATCACAGGATTTTCTTATACTAATGCTTGTAGCCTAATAATTATGTTTCTAATCGACATATCATTAGTTTTCAAGTTATACCCCCCAAATCTCAACATAATGAAATTTTAGGTAGAAATTGAAAATGGTCCAACAGTGTTTGGCAGTAATTCTTACTGTGAATAGCTCTAGATCCCCTGAGAAGTACACAGAACTGTAATTGAATCCATGGATCTTAATGAACCCGGATGTCTAGATTCTGTCAATATGAAACATCCCTTTCCTACTTTGTCACCGTCATACACAAGCACTTTCCTGAACTAATTTAGAATAAGTAACAAGTACATACATGGAAAACTATATAATCTAAATCCATAGTAGAAATGCCTGTTCTCCCTTTCTGTTCCCACACCCAAAAAATACAGAACTTGTCTATCCAAACAGAAATTTTAGGCTGATGAGAATTGGAAGTGGCTATGGTTCTCAACTTGGCCACATGACCACCAGCCAGAAGAAATATGAAGAGATCCTGCGTGTGATTGGGTATTGGCTGTGCCCCAGAATGGGCAATCGCTTATACTCCCATAAATGATAAAAAGGTTTATTGGTTGTTTTTACTTTGAACAAAGAACCTGAGGTTCATAGGCCTTGATTATATCTTGTTTTAAATAATTTGGATTTTTTTCCTTGACTTTATTTTCTTAAATAAAATATATGTACTTTTTAATCTATAGAAATAGTTTTTCTTAGTTATCCCTATTTATTAACCTTTAATTAGTAAGCAGCCAAATTGATCTAGGTACTAAATTATATCCTATGATGTATACATTTGGTTATATGTTTTTAAGTTGCTTGCCTATTTCTCTCCCTTGTTTTCTGCCTAATTTTAGAGTAACCAAATAAGGCAAATGGAAGAAGTAAAGATCTCAAAGAAGAGTAAAGTAGGAATTCTTCCATTTGTTGCTGAATTTGAAGAATTTGCTGGGCTTGCAGAATCAATCTTTAAAAATGCTGAACGTCGTGGAGATCTAGATAAAGCATATACTAAACTTATTAGAGGAGTATTTGTTAACGGTAAGCTTTTGTTATGTTCTAAAGAATTTTTTGGTTGGTTTTTATTATTTCTAGTAACTCAGAAGCTGGGGGGCAGATTATGTTCATTATTTTTCATATTCTGTAGTCTTTTATAAGTTTTCTGAAATTAAAGATTTCTTAAATTTGAAAAACAAGCAGTACATAAAACTCATTCATATTCATGAGGAAGCACTTACATTTTAGAGTTCATAGGGGCTTATCACTATGCAAAATTGAGTTCATTTTTAAACACAAAAAATGACCTCCCAGATTACATTTGCATTTTAGCCAGTCTTCCGAAGATGATAGGCAGTGATGTCTGTGACCTGAAGCAAATCAATTCACTTCTGTAGACCTCGGTTTTCATGAGGTAGATTAATGCTAAATTTCTATAATTCACTGTCTTCCTGTGTCAGAACCCACAATTAAGTTACAGAGAAACAGCGTGGATGTGTCATTTAATTTGAAATAAATTATCTCATTGCATATATTTAGGAATTTTAAAAGCTAAAATATTGACAGGAGGTAGGATCATCTCACCAGTTACATGTAACATATTTTCAGTGGAAGCAGGTCCAGGGGGAATGGTTGGTATTTCTTTTAAAATTCAAAGTAGCTTTACTTTGTCTGATTTTGAAGTAGCATATGCTCATTACACAACCTCAAAAATCAGAAGACAGATTTTAAAAATCAGATCATTTGTAATCTCATCATCTAGAGATACCATTTAATTTTCATCCTTCATATAAACTTTTCAATATGTCTCTCTCCCTCTTATAAATGTGCATATATTACATATGTTCTCTAATATAAAACTTGTATCATACCTTATTCGTTGTCTTGGAGCCTGCTAGATTATAATCGGAGTCATTCCTTGTCAATTAATATTGATAACCATAATCATTTATAACAATTGCATAGTATTCCATGTATCAGTATTTATTACCAAATCCCCCATTAATAGGCATTTAGTTTGCTTCTAGTTACTCACATATATTTTTGTATACTTGTCCAATAATTTCCTTAGGGTAAACTACTAGAAATGGAATTGCAGGGTCAGAAGGTTTGTATATATCTCAAACTTTTGCCAAATTGCCATTCTGAGAGGTAATACTTGTTTAGTGCTATGAGCAGTTGGTGAAAGTTTCTGTCACATCTACACCAATGATGAAAATTACTACGTATTATCAATTCTTTTATTCTTTGTCAGATTAACAGGCTATAAATTTATTTTGCTTATGATATTTTTTACAGTGCAAGAGCTTCAAATTTTATTTCAAATTTATCCACCTTTCCCATTATGACTTATAAGTTTTGGGGCATTCTTAGGAAGGTCATACTTTCACAGAATTATTTTTTAAATTAGCTTTATTTTTCCTTAGTTCTTATGATTGTATTCACTTTTTTTTTTTTTTTAACATTTTAAGTACTTGAGCAATTTAAAATGTATTTGGCTGAAAGATGTGAAATCGTAATTCAAATGTATTTAGCTGATTGTCCTAACACATTTTGAATAACCACCATTTCCCCACAGATTTGAAAAGCCACCTTTATTACATACTAATTTATATAGGGCTGTATTAGAATGGTTTTTTAAATTAGGCTTAGGTGGATGTGAAGATCCTTCAGTGCAATATATTTTATTCAGTCCAGAAATGTGCTTCTTAAACTTATAAGTGAAAGAAATCACATAAATATTTTTATAGCTAAATATGGTCATACTTATATCAGGATGTTTTTCCTGTTTTTATTTAGTGGAGAAAGTAGCAAATGAAAGCCAGAAGACTCCCAGGGATGTAGTTATGATGGAAAACTTTCACCATATTTTTGCAACACTTTCTCGTTTGAAAATCTCATGTCTAGAAGCTGAGAAAAAAGAAGCCAAACAAAAATACACAGACCACCTTCAGTCTTATGTCATTTACTCTTTAGGACAACCTCTTGAAAAACTAAATGTAAGTATATTTTCATGTAATATATTTTTCCTGTTTTATAAACACATAAACATAAGTTTACATATGAAAAAGATGACGGACACTTATCCTCAATTTCCTCATGTGTGGATGCAGGAGGCTAAGGAAGGAGGGACTCAGTTGCTGATGCTGCCAGGACACTGCTAGATGTTTTGTATACATTATTTCTTTTAATTCCTGTAAACAATGATATGGGGTAAGATAATATTATCCCTATTGTACAAATGAAGAAACTGAAAGTAAATAAACTTGCTTGAAGCTATAAGTGGTAAGTAGCAAAGCAGGAGGATGAACCCTAAATCGGGCTTTTCCATTATACCAGACTTTCCCATTTATTACCTAATAAATGGCTAATCTTTTTCTCTAGTTCAGATGAAGATTTTGAAACTTTATCAAGATAAAAGGAAAGCCAAAACTTGTTTTGTTTGTTGCCTTTTCCTTTCCTGACTTCAGTCATTCCCCAGAGTGAGGACAGTCATTAAAATTAAGAAATAATGGTTTTAGAAAACTTTGCTACATAGTATATCAGGTCCTTAAGTAATGTTGTTTCATTCAATGTTGTGTATAACGTTGATGAGATGCCAGAAACTTAATTCTTGTTTATATTAATTAGCCTACAGTAGAATTGGTTGGTCTCATTATGCATCATTTCACTTAGTCGATGCACTGTTTCACGTAGTCACAGAACCTCTAGGGACATTAAGACTCACTGTGTAAGCTGAAATGGACCCTGCTAACTAGCTTTATCCACAATGTGATTAGTCATCTTTTATAAATTTTTAACTTGAAATTAGAGGCAAATAAAAAATATGTATCTGTCATCAACAATTCAAAGAAATATTTAAGAGACATTTAACCAAATGCAGGATCAATACCTTATAAAACTTAAGGACAGATATTCCTTTAGGGGAAAAGGTCTGTCTCAGACCTAAAGCAATATGATACTTAACTATAACATTAGAAGCATTCACTGAAATAAAATTAAAGCAGAAATATTGCTAGATCCTTTATTATTTAACATTGTTATGGAAGCCCTAGCCAATGCATAAATAAAAGATAGAGAGTCACGATTATAGTTACCTATATGTAATCTGCTGAAATGATTGGTCTCTGGTAAAATGGTAGGAATCAAAATAAATATATGAAAAAATAATTCCTTTATGTCATAACAGCCAACTAAAAGTTTATGTAGAAACAAAGTTTTTAAAGCCCCAGGAATAGACTTGTTAAAAAATTATTATCAAACAATAACTTACTGAAGAATAAACAAATGATAATTGCTAAGAAAATTTTAGAGAAGAGTAATGAGAGAGGATTTAGCTTGTCAGTATTAAATCATAGTGTATAGTGCACGAATAAACGCATGCCAACCAATAAAATTACATATTAAAAAACAAATATACTTAAAAGATGACCTGAGAAGAATATTTGTAACAATAAAACAGTCAGGCCCAGCCGGGTGTAGCTCAGCGGTTGAGCATCAACCTAGGATCCAGGAGACTGCAGTTCGATTCCCGGAGAGGGCACGTGCCTGGGTTGCAGGCTCAGTCCCCTCAGTAGGGGGCGTGCAGAAGGCAGCCGATAATGACTCTCTCATCATTGATATTTCTCTCTCTCTCTCTGAAATCAATAAAGATATATTTTTAAAAAGACCACACACGATATAATAGTCAGTATATTTAAAATACAAGATCTTTTTAAAATAAATTAGAAAAGTGCTAAGACCCCAACATATAAGTGGGCAGGCGTTCTGCATATACTACTAAGCATGCAAAAGCAAGTTAACTTCACTTGAAGCAAAAAAGGGGGGAATAAAACAACAAATAACCCTCCTCACTCAGGAAATGGCAGCTGTGTTTTAATTTCGACAACCCTCGTGGTAACGCAAGACAGCCATCTGTGTACTGCTGACACAAATATAAATGGGTTGAACTTTTCTTGGAAGCAATTTGTGTATATGAAGAACTTGAGAATATGTTTACGAGTATGCTCCTTAACTGAGGAACTATAGTCCTAGAAATTTATGCTGCAAAGTAATCAGTAATGTGGGTAAATACTGATGAACAAAAGATATTTATGACAACTGTATTTATAATAGAGTGTTTTAAATCTGAGTAGATTTTGCCAACTCTGAAAAAAAAGTGAAAAATACTAACTATCCAATACTGGAGGAATGAATAAATAAATTGTAGTTCAGTTATTGGATAGAATACAATGCAGCCATTAAAATTTATACTTCGGGGGGGGATCAAAAATATTAAATGGAAAATACAACATACAAAATTATAAACTCATTTATATACCCACACCTCAGAAGAGTGGAAGGAAATCTAAAATGTTAACAGCAGTTATCTCTGAGTGGTATCATCATAGATGATTATTATTTTATCATTTATACTTTTACACATTGCCTGGTTTTTACACAGTGAATATATACTATTTTATAATCTTATTTTTTTTAATTTAAGTGAAAATAAAAGCAGTTCTTAGCCATTATTTCTTTTCATTTCCTTGAAGCATTTCTTTGAAGGCGTTGAAGCTCGTGTAGCACAGGGTATAAGAGAGGAGGAAGTAAGCTATCAACTTGCTTTTAACAAACAAGAACTTCGTAAAGTTATTAAAGAGTATCCTGGAAAGGAAGTGAAAAAAGGTCTAGATAACCTCTACAAGAAGGTTGATAAACATTTGTGTGAAGAGGAGAACTTACTTCAGGTAAGCTTAGTTCTTTTAACCATCCTAGATTACATGTCCTTACATATATTGCTTTTCTCCAAAATACTCTTCTAGAAATGCTACAGATTTTTAAGTTTTAGGGCAGGAGGAGAGTTCCATAAAGTATAGACCAGACTAACGAATTCTGTGAGAGAAAAAAAGGAATAATATTTATATAAGTTTATATGGCTTTTCCTATTTACTTTATGTTTTATTGTTTTGAGGCATTACATTGTTTTTGTCTTGTTTGGGGATGGGTTTTTTGTGAGTTTGGGGGATTTTTCATATTTGAGAGGAGTAAGTAAATAACACAGTGGAATGATTCTGAGTTGGGGGTTGAAGTTAGAAATGGGTTCTTAACCTGGATCCAGATTATACTACATGGCTTTGGGTGAGTTAGTTATCCTCTCTGAGCCTCAATTTTCTTATTTGAAAAGTGAAAATGATACCTCCCTCATATAGTAGACATTACTATTATTGTCATGCTATTTTATAGATGAGAAAATCAGAGCTCAAAAAGGTGGAGTAATGTGACCAAGCTCCCATAGCAAATGGGTGGAGAGAGTGATCGAAACCCCATATCGAGCCATTATTCTTTACAAACCATACTGAAAGGCCCAGAGTGAGAATAGTTATGATTTCAACATCACCAAAGGCTTCATGTGGGATATTATATATGCGTTAGCCTTTGAAAGTCGAATAGTAATTTAACAGATAAAGTGGGAGGAGTGGTACTCCAGGTGGCAGACATATCATGAGCTAAAAGATGAAAAGCAAAAAGTATAATACTGTTTAGTAAATAGTCTTAAATTGGCAGGAATTTGGGATATGAGATTTAGTGTTTATGAGGAAAATTCCTGGAAGTATACATTCCCTCAGCTATCAGGCAGGGATGATAATATAGACCCTCTCCCACCAGGCTGTCATGGGACTTGAGTGGGATAATATGTACTGTGCTGATACAGAGTGAGCATCAATAAATGTAGCCTACTAGTATTAGCTAATATGGCAGTGTGTGTATCAGATTTTATCTCAATGGTTGTCTATAGATTATAAATTCCTTGGATTGTAGATAATCCTTCTGTCTCATCTTGGTATGTCTACCATGGCATCAGGTAATGTTTTGTATCATCAGTTTTAGATAAAGAAATTTTAAACTTTCATTTGAAATGAAATTTAAGCATTGACTATTGCATTTCATTTAGTCACTAGTCTTAGTTCCATACATAATTGTGCATCTCCACATCTGGGTTGGATATTGTAGTAGATGTAATAATAGCTAAAACGTAATGAGTGCTTACTGTGTCAGACACTGTTCTAAGCACTTGTTCCATTCACTCATTTAATCCTCACAAGAAACTTATGAGAAAGGTATTACCCCAGTTTACAGATGAAGAACTTGAGGTACAGAGTGATGGTGTAGCATACTTGAGGTCACATATCTTGTAAGTAGAAGGATCTAGGATGCATGTTTTTCACTGTTATACTCTGCTTAATTCTGCCTTCACATTACTTCTGCATACTTGATTGTGTATTATTTCCATTCATAGTTTACTTACTTTTATTTTTGTTTTTATAATAGGTGGTGTGGCACTCCATGCAAGATGAATTTATACGCCAGTACAAGCACTTTGAAGGTTTGATAGCTCGCTGTTATCCTGGTTCTGGTGTTACAATGGAATTCACTATTCAGGACATTCTAGATTATTGCTCCAGCATTGCACAGTCCCACTAAACCTTATGGAAGAAGAAAAGATAAATGAAGAAAGCACTCTGAGTATACTAGACACTATAAAAAATATCAGCAACTGTTTTGAGAACTGAGACTTGAAATTTATGTAGTGTTAAATAGTTAATACCATACTACAAATATTCAAGAGCAAAAGTACCAACTTATATAACAGTTTTATTTTATCAATAGTTTGTATACTAACTTAAAACATTTATCTTATAAAATGTCATAGCATTTTTCTGTGACTGACCAGGAAATTTTCCTTTATTGCCTAGTTTCTTGTATTTGTGAGTGGTTGTTCTATGAGTAGTGCATTAGGAGTTTTCAGCTTCCACTAATTCACTATTGCTTACAAATCATGTATGCACTAAACATTGTACAGAATTTTTCCCCTGTCTAATGTGTATATTGATGAGGGCTCTCAAAACAATCAATTGTAAACTTGAATTTTGAGGATTATGTGACTAGTAGCAATGATTCTGAAATAAAAGAAACATTTTCAAAAAAGTTTAAATTTGATAATATTAGATCTGTTACATGCTTAACAGATCAATACACAAAAATTAATTACATGTTCATTTACTATAAAACACTTAAAAACATAAGAAGAAAAATAAAATCATTTATGATAGCATAGAAATATTTAGTATTTAGGACTAAATTGTTTCCCTCCCTGAGATTCGTATATGAAAGTCCCCCCATACGACTGTGTCAGAGATGGGGCCTTTAAGGAGGTGATTAAGATTAAATGAGGTCATGAGGGTAGAGCCCTGATCCAATAGAACTGGTCCCGGTAGGAGAAGAGATACCAGAGCTCTCTCTGACATCTGAGGAGATAGCAAGAAGGCAGCCATTAGCAAGCTAGGAAGAGAGCTCCCACCAGAACCCTAATATGGCACCCTAATCTCAGACTTCTAGCCTACAAAATTGAGAAAGTAAATTTCTGGTTTTTAAGCTACCCAGTCTATGGTATTTTGTTATGGAGTTTAAGACCTTTATGGAGAAAATTATAAAACTATTGAAAGATATTAAAGAAGACCTAAATAAGTGGAGGAATATTTCATGTTTCTAAATAAGAACATGTAATAGTAGATATGGCAGTTATCCCCAAATTTAAAGATTCAGTGCAGATTTCCAGTTTCCAGTCCAGCACATAAGAAGCTTGGAAGTCACTTCTCCATCCTAACAAGTCAAAAGCTGAACAAACTGAAAAATCAACTCTTCCTTGATCTGTAAAAGAAGCGAGGTCACAAGGCAAGCAAACCACTGCTACAACTGGAGAGACCGACAATACAGAGAAACAGCAGAGCTTAGAAACACACAAGCTGAAATACCCACAGGAACCAGTGCTGAGGTAGGTAAAACTGATAAACTATAACTAATTGCTGGAGCCTATGTGGATAAGTCTCACAAATAAAAAATCCAGGGGGACCCAGTCATTGGGATCCCCCCCTACACTTTGAATTTTTACCTCCTATAGTTCTACCGGGTCTCACAGTGAATGTCAAGAGAAAAATCTGTGCTCTGGCAGGGGAAGGGGAAAGGAACCATTTTGAAATATGCCAGAGCATTCTGGTTTTAACAAGTTCTGCCCTCAGGAGAAACTATATACCCAAAGCCTAACTGACCTGGGAGAAAGGAAATACTCAACTCCAGCTAGCTGAGCACTTCTACATGGAGGAAGAGAAATACCCAACTTCAACCCACTCTAGTTATCCTTTCCCACCTAAACGGGGAAAGGTGAAATTCACAGTATAGAAGTACAGGCTCACTAAAAGACATACCTATTTATAGGACTGGAGAACACTTCCCCCCTCCCCACAACTTACCACTTTTTACTAAAGTTCTATTGATAGCAGCTCATTTTATCCAGCATCATGTCCAACTATCAAGAAAAAACTACAAGACATACTAAAAGGCCGAACAACACAGTTTAAGAGAGAGCAAGCATCAGAACAAAACTCAGATATGGCAGGGATGTTAGAATCATCAGACCAGGAATTTACAATAACTACGATCAATACGCTAAGCACTGCAATGGATGAAGAGCATGTAAGAACAGATGGGCAGTGTTAGCAGAGAGATGGAAATTCTAAAGTACCAGAAGAAAATGCTGAAGTACCAAAACACTAACAGAAATGAAGAATTCCTTATTATAATGTACACTGCTCATGGCTGGGGGAAAAAAATCTCTGAGGTACAGGATATATCAACAGAAACCTCCCAAACCAAAAAGCAAAGAACAAAGACCAAAAAAAAAAAAAAAATCCAAGGACTGTGGGACAACTACAAAAGGGGTAACATGCATGTAATGAGAATACAGGGAGAGAAAAACGGAAGAAATATTGGAGACGATAATGACAGAATTTTGCCAAGTTAATGTCTGACACCAAACCACAGATCTAGGAAGCTTAGAGAATACCAAGCAGAATGAGTGCCTGAAAAACTACGTCTATGCATATCATTTTCAAGCTATAGATAATCAAAGATAAAAAAATCCTAAAAGAAGCCAGAGGTAAAAAACACTACAGAGCAGGGGTGAGAAACATCTGGCCTGCAGGCTGTATATGGCCAGCGAAATCATCTGGTCCGGCCCTGCCACAGCAACCATAGGCAGGACTCGAAATTCAGTAAATCTAGGAGTTTTTTCCAGAGCTAATTTTTAAGTTGATAATTTAGTATGGCCCTTGAATGATGTTATAAATATCCAAATTGCCCTTGCAGAAAAAATGTTCCTATAATATAGAGGAACAAAGATAAGAATTGCATCTGACTTCCCAGAAAATGTGCAGGCAAGAAGAGAGTGGGATGAAATATTTATAGTATTCAGAAAAGAAAACCACCAACCTAGAATTCTGTGTCCTGTGAAATTATCCTTCAAAAGTGAATGAGAGATACTTTCTCAGACAAACAAATATTGAGGAAATTAGTTGCCAGTAGACCTGCCTTGCAAGAAGTGTTAAGAGAACATCTTTAGGGAGAAGGAAAGGATATAGGTCAGAAACTTGGAGCCACATAAAGGAAGAGCACTGAAGAAGGAATAAGTGAGGTAAAAAAAACTTCTATTCTTACTTGATCTAACAGATAACAGTTTGTTCAAAATAATAGCAACAGTGCGCATTCAATTTATGCATGTACATGTACTTATATATGCTTATGTATAAGTGAAATGAATGAGAGCAATGGTACAAGAGATGAGAGTAAAGGAATTAGGGTTATTTTGTTATGTTTGCTTACTCTTTATGAAGGGTGATTTGAAAGAAGACTTGGATTAGTTGTAAATGTTTATCGCAAACTCTAGGGCAACCACTTTAAAAATTTTTTAAAGAAGTATAATTGATATGCTAAAAAAGGAGAGAAAATGGAATCATAAAATCCGTTAAAACCATGAAAAACAAAAAGAATGGAAGACAAAACTAGGAGCAAAACACAAGGGCAACAAACAGAAAATACTAACAAATATGATAGCTATTAATCCAAGTATCAAAAATCAGTTTTAGCTACACAATACAGTGTAGGTAAATGCCAAGAAAATAATGTCAGATGAAAAACGTAAATCAGTGGAATAAATACAACATGTACCATTAATATAAAAGTTCAGAAACCTTCAAAATTAAACAATATGTTGTTTAAAGTTATAAATGTGTTAAAAAGAAAAGCAAGGGAGTGGTGGCAAAATTCTGGAAAGGTTATTGGGGGCAGGAAGAGAAGGGATGGTATCTGGCAGGGACACACAGGATTTGAAAGGCATATTGTAATGTTTTTAAACTGGGCAGTGGATATATGGATTTCATTGTACCATGATACTTTCATCCTTTACACATACCTTACATACCTTATAATTTTTTTTATATCAGTTCAATGTTTAATTTTAAAACTTTAAATCAAATGTTTGTGTATATCTTTATTGCTAAATAATAAAACCTCAACATTTACAGATAACAATTTGGGGCCAAAGGAAAGCCAGTGACTTGATCAAGGTCCAAGCCAAGTATTAACAGTTGATATTCTACACAACACTAAACTCCCTCTCAAAGTGCTGGCCGTTTCCTCTTCTGACAGCAGAAATGATGCAGATATAAATATATATCACATCCAAGGACCAAATGCTGTCTAATATCTCCACTAACGTAACAGGTGGCATGGCTCTTACTTATAAAAAGGTAGTGGATGACTTTCATGAGCTACAGTTTTCTAGACCTTAAAGATCTATGCTATTGTTTGTTAGAAAGCATAGGCAAACAGGAGCACAGGACTTTTGAACAAACTACTGAAAATAATAACTTAGAGAATAACTGTAGATGAAAAAGTGCTGGGAAAGTAAAAATAGCTATACCAGTGAAGTTAAATATGTAGTATCAGAGTGGTGTCAACGATTAATTCTCATAACTGTCTGCTTTGGGATCCTCTACGTCTGTGCTTCTCAAAACTTTCGTGTACATGTGAAACAAACGGGGATTTTGTTGAAATGCAGATTCTGACTCAGCAGGTTTGAGTGTGGTCCAAGATACTGCATTTCCAACAAGATCCCAACTAATAGCAATGCTGCTGTCTATATGTCTGTAGGCCACAGTTTGAAATGCAAAGCTTTAAGATGCAGAATTATATCTCTCATGCCCCCAAATGATTATTTGTTTTTTAATCCCTTAGAAGATAGCTGACATTAATGCTTGTGATTTAAAGAGTTCTCAGGTTGTTAAATTTGATGGCACTTATAACATGCTCACTTACCTAAACTCCTGAGTATAGTACTAAGTGCATTTAGAAGTGATTCATATTTTCAAAAGAGGATGGGGGAGCCATCAAAAGGCAGTGGGAAAGATGGGAAGCAGGAGAGAAATATATTAAAAAGGTGGAGAAAACATGCTAGGAAGCAATTGAGAACATAGCGAGACAATGTAACATCAATCTATGAGCAATATGAGCAAATCGTTTGCCCAACAATCTTGAGAAAGCAGCTTCTCTAAGATCAGCATCTCAATCGATTTCAATTGCCTATGCAAGACAGTGGGTCTTTCTAGAAGCTAAATATTTTGCCTAGTTGGCTAGAGGAGAGGGTAGTAAAGAAGAAATTAAGAAATTGAAAGGATGTGCTCTAATACGAATTTTATACTTGTCTCCATTTAACTTTAAACAGCCTTTCCTGATCTTTAATTAACAGTACCTTACCCTGTAATTCTCTCAGAAGAGCCTGTTCTTTTTCTTCGTGGCACTGACCATGATTCTTGTCTCCCCTGCTTGGACTGCAAGCTTTATCCCTAGGATCAAGACCATTCTGTCTACCAGGACCTATCCAGCACGGGTAAGTACTTAATAAATATTGAGCTTAAAAGGTAAAAAGTGAACAGATAACACCTGAATTGTTAATTGATGGGAGGAGGAAACTGTCACTCATATTTCTTTACTATTCCCTTCAATGTCTAGAGGACGACCATACTCTCGAATATAAGTTCCACTAGGGCAGAGGCTGTAGCTGCTTCATTCATTGCTTGAGCCCAGTATCTGAC